TCACTCTGTCTTGTGGTTTTGTCTGCTATTGTAATTCCAAGCCACTGATAATTTGAAAATGATGCTAAAATTTTGGACTATTTGATGTCACTAGAGTGTCCTCACTTATGATATGCTGATATGTACTACAGTTGTGTTCAGAACCCCCAGAAAGAGCTGCGTGTTTGGTTGTTTTTTTTTTTCTCTTTAGTGTGTGTCATCATTTTATAACAAATGTGGAATAGTACTTGTGATTTTATAATGTAATTTCTTCTTTTGCATACGGTGTTCTGTCATCTCCAAGAAGAGCTAGCCTTGGAGATCTTGTATACAGACTTTATCTGGTAGCAGATTGTCTTGCTTTTCAGCAGTATTAGTCATCTCTCTGTGCCTTGACTATCTTGTGGTAATAAGATAGTCACACAATAACCTCACCATTCTGTGGCGGTGTAGAACAATAGCGTGCAACATAAAATCTTGAGTTGCCAACACTGGTGCTTCTTCTTTAGGGTCTTGATTGCCAGTACTCTAAGGGGTGGTCATGTAACTAAAGCAAAATTGGTTGTAGGGAATGATAAGCAAGTCACAGGACTCCAGGAAAAGTTTCCTGTGCATTTAATGTGTGTTCTTCTGTTTTTCCATATGAACCTTGAAACTTTGTGGTATTAATGCCTGTAACATGTAAAATTAATTGTGGTAAATGTATATGTCTGTATTTAAAATTATGAAATTGTGTAAATAGCTATATTTAGTTCTATATTTGAACTTAAAGTTTTAGTTCTTTAATAAACCTGAAGGACATCTGTGCCACTAAGAGAAAAATAACTGCAAATTAATTATCTTTCAGTAATGTATTTTATATTTAAACAATGTATTATAGTAAGAGGAAGGTGAAAAAATAATCTTTTGCCCTAGCATCCTCTTTAATCATTCTAGATATGAAGCATGTGTTTGGAAGTTATGAAGTACCTTATAAAGGGCACCAAGTTACTTCAACAAAGAGTCAAGCTTTAAGTAAGGATTTAGAGGATAATCATGATGCCTACTATAGAGTAAACTTGTCTTAGATGGAAGAGTCCTAGAAGCAGTGGTGGATTCTGCTAGATGTCTAGAAGTTTTGCTCCAGCTCTGACCTATCCTGTGGATAAGCTTGTTTCTCTCCATTGATTATAGAGGAAGTCTAGTTTCTTAAATTTATCAGAAGAGATTCTGTTATGAATGAATTATGACACTCTGATAATGAGGGGGCCAAACTCCCAGAACCTGCTTAGCTCAGCTCAGTGTCTCCCAGTGACTTTGAGCCTGGCATTTCACTTGGAATTTTGCAGCTCAGTGCAGGTTTATCAAAAGCCAGGCATGGCTTAATCGGGGATGGCGGTTGGTTGACTTTGAGCACAGCCACTGAAACAACTGTTGCTGAACTTGACAAGATGGATAGATACATTGATTAACCTTGCAGCATAAAGGATTCCTCCTTGGAGATTTTAATTCACAACTTAAGTTTAGAATGAAGACAACTGCACTGAACAGCCTGACCTTTTTGGATCATGGACCAGTGAAGATTTCCAGGCTAACAAGGCTTAGAGTTAGGGGGTTTTTGATGTGAGATTTTCAGGATTTCATTCAGAAGCCTCTGCTGCTCTTTCCCCCTGAATCACTGCCCAGTAATTCAGTGGTAGGAGCATGGTGCCTTTGAAACTGTGGCCTTGAACGGGTGTTACTTTATACCTGTTAAGAAAAGGACACTGGGCAAGCCTCCAGGCTTTTTGCCATGTATCTGTAGGTACTTTTTTGGTCTATAACTTTATCTTTTACTTTTTCCACTTTTAAGTGGTAATAATATTTTCTCATTTGTTTAAATGTTTATGTGGTGTCCGTTTTACAGGTAGGAAAGCAGTTGATTCTATGAGTAAAGTCACTGGGTATGCTGAAAGTACATCTTGATTGTCATGCAAAGACGTTTTCACGTCTTCAAGCCAACTAGCATTTTCACATCTTCGAACTCTCATGGCTTGGAATTCCTGTGTGCATGCAAAAGGTGTAGCTGAAGGGGGAAATTCTGGGAAAATTAGTAGAGCAGGCAGTTTTTAATAATACTGTGGAGATCAGCTCAACTTTGAGAGCCTTTTTAGATTTCATCTCTGTTCTCTTTGAGTTCTGATGTGAAATCTAGAAAGCAAGCAAACATTACATGGTGGGGGCTGGGAATGCTTTAATGTTTTCCAGAATCAGTATTGAAACCAAGGAGACAGGGGATCAGTGTGTGGTTCTCTTGCTGGCGTGTTGTT